AGGTGATACATGTCTGCTCCCCACCTTTTCATACACAAAGGTGAAGTTGCTTTGAGGCAGAAGTAGGTGACCTCAGAGCATTATTAGCATACTGACAGCCAGAAAAAAAAATTGAAAGCACTGGAATGCATCAAGAACGCGTCAAAAACACAATACACCAAAAAATGGACCAGATCAGGTCCAGAAAATGGAGTGAACCCAGCCTAAAGGTGGCGGTGTCCCTTCATTGAAAGAATGATTATTGGATTTATTGAAGGAAATGTGTTTGCCTATCTATATTTACTTGCATCTTGCAAGAATAAAATCTTTTAATAGTTTGAACACATTTAAGCTTGAATTCTGCTTTACATGGTTACATAATATTTTTATTGCAGTGTAGGTAAGCCCTAGAGCTGGAGGATCACCCTGCAATATTCGTGTAAATTACACATGCCCTCTGCCTACTGCTCACCCACCCAGCATTAGCCCTCATACCTGTGCATGCACAGCACCCCACAAATGCACAGCAGTATCTTGATCCACAAATAGCTTTGATTTTATTCCTGCCCTAATATATAGGGCAGGAATACAATCAATGCTATTTGTGGCTGATACTGCTGTGCATTTGTATGGCTCTGCATGCGTGTCTTACACATTAGATACATACAGTACAATAGGGGGAGACTGCTGCTACAATACTGTTTTTTTTTGTAATTGTTTGGGGACGATGCAAGCTGCAGTGTGTAGATTGGTGCTGGTCTGAGGTCTGCCTTCTATTGCTGCCGGTCTGAGGTCTGCCTTCTATTGCTGCCGGTCTGAGGTCTGCCACACATTGCTGCCGGTCTGAGGTCTGCCGTGCATTGCTGCTGGTCTGAGTACTGCCATGCAATGCAGGTATTGCTGCTGGTCTGAAGTCCGCCGTGCATTGCTGCTGGTCTGAGGTCTGTTGTGCAATGCATGTATCAATGCTTGCCTGAGATCTGCCGTGCATTGCTGCTGGTCTGAGTACTGCCATGCAATGCAGGTATTGCTGCTGGTCTGAAGTCCGCCGTGCATTGCTGCTGGTCTGAGGTCTGTTGTGCAATGCATGTATCAGTGCTTGCCTGAGGTCTGCCCTGCATTGCTGCTGGTCTGATGTCAGCTGAAAGTAACATCCTACAGCCCAGACATAGCACAACTGAGCCATGAAATACAGGCACAGGGATCACACTAACACTGCTGGTCTGAGGTCTGCCTTCCATTGCCGCTAGTCTGAGGTCTGCCATGCATTGCTGCTGGTCTGAGATCTGCCACGCATTGCTGCCGGTTCTGTAATCTAACGTACATTGCTGCTGGTCTGAGGTCTGCCACACATTGCTGCTGGTCTGAGATCTGCCACGCATTGCTGCTGGTCTGAAGTCTGACGTGCATTGCTGCTGGTCTGAGGTCTGCTGTGCAAATCATGTACTTCTGCTGATCTGAGGTCTGCTGTGCAATGTGTGTATTGCTGCTGGTCTGAGGACTGCAGTGCATCACTGCTGGTCTGAGGTGTGTTGTGCAATGTGTGTATCAGTGCTTGCCTGAGGTCTACCGTGCATTGCTGCTGGTCTAATGTCAGCTGAAAGTAACATCCTACAGCCCAGACATAGCACAACTGAGCCATGAAATACAGGCACTAACACTAAGTCCAGTTTACTTTTCAGCACATGTAAATATGAACATGTTTTGTGTCTGCACCAGTTATTCTTTTTTCACTTATAGTTGTACTTCTAATAACAAAGTGAACACATTAAAATAATTAGTCAGTTTAACTTACTATTAGCAGTACAACTATGAGTGTAAAACTTGAAATGTAACTAACACTATGGCGCGCTGTTGTTCATTGGCAACCGGTTGTCTGGCTGTTGCAAAAATGGCGCTTGTTGCGTAAAAGGTTGCTGACTCCTGTGTGAAATTCTATAGTTATTCCACAAAAACAAATACAGGAAGTAAAAAGGAGTATCAGTTTCCCCCTAAGGCCTGGTTCACACCTGACCGTTTTGTAGTGCGTCCTACGCTCGATGAACGCACTACAAAACGGACCAAAATGTAAAAATCATTGAAGTGAATGGTATAGTTCCCACCTGTCCGTATTTCCGTCCGTCCCGAACGCACTACAAAACGGGCCACGCATGAAAAGGTCCCGAAGCGTTTTTGCTGCGTATTGGTCCGTTTTGTAGCGCGTTAGTGCCCATAGACTTCGACGGGAACGGACGAAATCACTGAAATCGCGCATAGAACGCGCGTTCCACACATGTCTACAGAAGACCATTCCCCCACAGAGCTGTTGTTGAAGAAGAAAAGATGGAGGATTGTGCCATGCTGGATTCTGAGGCCTTTATAAGACAGGTGGAGGGAAGGCCATGTATCTATGACATGCGCCATGCGCATTACAAAAACAGGCGCATAAGGCAACGTGCCTGGGTGGAGATAGCGGAAGCTTCGTGGCCAGACTGGGAAACCTTCCCAAAGCAAGTTAAAGAATCAAAAAGGTACATTAGCAAATGTTGAATATGTGTCTTTTTCATTGGACGCTTGCGGAAAAACAGGAATTCTTCTTCATTGGATACCTCTGTTGTCGCTCCAAAACCCTTCAAAACGCGCGTGCAACGCGCGTTTCTAATGTAAAAAAAACGCACTAAAAACGCACCAAACTCTGGGAAGAAAACGCGCGTGTGACGCGCTTATGCAATACGCACAGGTGTGAACCAGGCCTTAGTTCCAGTCTGAGGTAGAGACCGCAGCTCCAAAATAATATTTTGAAAATGTTGGAAGTGTGCTGAGTGAGATGCCTGGGAATTACTGTATATACAAAATTAACCTCGAAAGTTAAAGAGGTTTGTCAAAAATAATCCAAAATTGTTCTCTGCAAAAAAATCCGACACACACCACAAAGGTCTTTAATACAGGAAAGGGAAATGCTGCGTCTCAAGAAGTCTTTTTCATTGGACGCTTGCGGAAAAACAGGAATTCTTCTTCATTGGATACCTCTGTTGTCGCTCCAAAACCCTTCAAAACGCGCGTGCAACGCGCGTTTCTAATGTAAAAAAAACGCACTAAAAACGCACCAAACTCTGGGAAGAAAACGCGCGTGTGACGCGCTTATGCAATACGCACAGGTGTGAACCAGGCCTTAGTTCCAGTCTGAGGTAGAGACCGCAGCTCCAAAATAATATTTTGAAAATGTTGGAAGTGTGCTGAGTGAGATGCCTGGGAATTACTGTATATACAAAATTAACCTCGAAAGTTAAAGAGGTCACCCGTAAAAAAAAAAAAAGTATATATATAGTATACAGTAAACTCCCCATTATTGGGCATTTAAGCAACTGGCACTCTCAAGCAACCGGAAAAATATTTGAAATAGCAGACTGGCTATTGAAACCCCGCCCACCAAGCAGAGGATCAGACCGGAGAGAGAACTTTCTGCTTAATGGGTGGGGTTTCAATAGCCAGCCTGCTATTGGCTATTTCAAATTGCCATAGCAAATAGCTGGCTGGCTATTGTTCCTACCCACTGAGCAGAGGACTGGAACTGATGCAGAATTTCTCTCTTAGAGCCGCTCCGCTGCTCAGTGGGCAGGGCTTCAGTAGCCAGCCTGCTATTGACTATTGCAATTTGAAATAGCCAATAGCAGGCTGGCTATTGCTCCCGGTTGCTTCCATTCACCTGTCAGCTGCGGAAGCTAGCCAGCAGTTGAAAGGGACTGCGGGGGAAGCAAGGCGCAGTAGGGATGGTTGCTTGAGAGTTACTATTATTTCACAAGCAACCAGAAACTGCAGAGTGGGAGTGTTTTTCTTTACACTTTTTGCAAGTATGCAGCCAATGGATGAATCAAATATTTACTCCCCCCCCCTTCGGCTGCTTTGGTTCCTCTTGCCAGCTCATAATCTTGTAGTGACAGCAGGCAAAACCACAATGGCCAGTTGGGGGAGCAAGTATTCTACACACCCCAAATGCTCGCAGCAGCTAGAGAGCGCAGAAGTAGCGACTTTTCAATACAGCTGCCTGAAAGATAGGCTTACAAATGCTGCTATTGGAGGTGATTATTTTGTAAAAATGAACCTGTGGTAGGGCTAACTTTTTTTTTTTAATGGTTGATAAAACAAAAAGGGGGCTGCTATGGCCAATTAGAACCCATGTAAAGCAGTCCAAGTCGATATTTGGGGGTAGAATGTCAAAAATGAATTTTGACCAATTTATCAGTGTCAGGGTACCATGCACAGGCGTCCTCACACCACGTGCAGGTACCCACGTAGGGTGACCAAATTAATATGCGCACACTGGATAGGGTTAAATGCACACAGTTTATTTGTTACACAGCAAACAAAACTACAAACCCCCTCAACCCCCCACAGGTTGAGGGGGTTGAGGGGGTGAAGTAACAAAAACCACGGTTGGAACAAACACACACCTACAGCCAGGGGGAACAGCAACAAGGAGGGGTAATAGGACTGCAGATAGACAGCAGGCCTCAGGATACAGGAAGAGTGGTCAGGTACAAGCCGGGTCGTTAACAGGAGGGCAGCGCGGTACAGGAACAGGATCCAAGAAGAGTGGTCAGGTAACAAGCCGGGTCAGTGACAGGTTTGCAGATAGGAAGCAGGGTTCAGGTAGCAGGGTTCAGGTTCCAAGGCACAGGACACGGGAGTCAGTCAGGGGCAGGTGACGCAATACTAAGCCACCTTCCTGACTGCAGGGAGGGCCTAAATACCCTCCCAGGAAGTACCAGGTGATGGGATGATCACTCACAGCCTGGGCACACCCGCAGGTGAGTACTGGAACTGCAGGTCCCAGCTCCACCCAGTGGTGGTCTGGTTCCTGACAGTTCCTGGCTGCCTGGAGACACCCGCAGGCGAGCACAGGAACTGCAGGACCTGGCTCCAGCGCCACCTGGGGGTGCTCTGGATCCTGACAATCAGTCAGTGACATAACAGTCAGTTTCCTTCCACACTTCAGACCGGAATCCCAAAACAGCAAGAAGGGTTGCAGGGGTGACCTGCGGATGGCGTTGCGTAAATCAAAGTATCAAAGTAGTCACCCACACACAAAGGTCCAACATGTAAAACGCATGTAAAACATGTAAACAGTATATCGTATCACCAGTGGACAGCAAATGTTCACTGGCTGTCCACTGGTGATACCGTGTATGTTTAACGTCTGAATAAAGGCGTTTCACACGTTGGACCTCAGTGTGCGGGTAACTACTTTGATACTCAGATATAACTCATACTAACTTGTTTTTCTTTTCCCAGACTCTATTACAATGACTACCACACAGAATTCCTATTTCTCAAGTGATGGAGCAATGACCCTCTGGGGCTCCCTAGAGGTGGAAGACATTCAGACACTGGCAGCCCACAATGATTCACGGAAGATTGAATTCAAGCAAAGCTGGTCAAAGGGGAGCCTGAGTGACATAGAATGGATGATTTACGACATGTTTTTAAAACGTTACTTGGAATTTTTTGAAATACACGTGAGAGAAATCATTGAAGGCATTGGGTTGAAAGGTAAGAGATTAGATTGCAATAGAAATAGATTGTAGCAATTAGATTGAATTAAAGGAGGCATCCAACTACAAAAAATATGGGGAATGACAATGTTAATCTTCATCAGAAGTAAAATGATTAAAGAGACACTGTAAAATAACAGCACTTCCTGGTACTGGAGCGACCCAACAAGGGAGCGGAGAAAAGGTGTGCATACCTTGCTGAAGGAGGGAGCTATTACTCTTCCTGAGTGGGCAGGTGACTTTATTTGATTGACTAGGACTCATTGTAGTATTTTTCAGCGATGGTTGAGCATGCATGGTACTGGTCTAACTTCAGGGGAGGACTGAGAACCTCTGGTCCACAGGGCCAAACACAGCCAAATAGCCCTTTCATGGTACAGATTTCTGTGGGCTAATGAAAGAGTACCATGCATTGTGTGCCATAGTGCTGCACTAATTGGTGGGCATGATGAAAGAAGAGTGTTTCTGAAGGACATGGTTTATTGTGACACACCTTTTAACATCTTCCAGCGTCAGCTTTGCAGCGCTCAACAATTGGTCACATGACATCTCAGAGCCTCAAAGGAATTTGCTGGAAGATTTGCCTTAGACACTAGAGATGTAGGTCTGAAAGGAAAGCAGGTAGCTATATAATGCCCAGCAAGTGTCACTGACTCTGATTCCTGCTCTGATTAATATATTTAATTTAAGCATATTTTATTAGTACTGGCCTTAGGGGGAAAGGTAACCATCCTCCCCTGTCTTGCCTTTTATTGTGGACTTTGGAGAACCAAGTGGCTCTTTAAAGGAACACCATCACTGGTTTGCAGCAGCAACCTCCTTTTAGGCATAAGTGGCTCTCATATAAACCTTTGGCTTAGTCTTCCAAAAAGCAAGGAGTCACTGTTCTTATTTATTCACTTGTATGTGTACATTTCAGCTTGAGCTATTGGGGGGTGTAAACAACATGATTTTTCCAACAGTTACAGAGCACCTGTTAAGCATATGTAAACACGCCTAGAGCTAGATGAAACAGGGAAGCATGAAACAAGCACACAGTTGTATCTGCTGGATGGATAAAACACTACTTATTATTTGTGTGGAATATTTTGTTAGAATTTATTGAAATTGTGTGTATTTTCATTATGATCACAAAACCCATATTCACTCCCTGTAATAGACTAAAGTAGATCTAAAGCCAATTTCCAAAATCTCATAATATTTAAATAATTAATGCAATTGCCAAAGTTCTAAGTCTCTAGCTTTCATTGAAACAATTTCAGGTGATTCTGCCCCAGAGACACCCCTGGTGGAGACTACACACAGCTATGCTGACACACATTGTTCAGGCTTGATCCACTATCAGGAAGCCGGCTTAGAGCAATGATGTGCACATAAAACTGGGGCATGGGCATACTGTATAGACTGGAATTGGTTGAAAGAGGCTAGAGAAGATCTTTAGCACAAAAGTGAAAACAGATGTAGTGCTCACCCCCGAAGGAGCCGCAGTATCTTACAGGTTCTTCTGTCCCACACCAGGATAAATCACCCAGACTAGATCCAGAGCACATCAACACACCTTGTGGGTTTTTCTTATAGAAGTGTTACTGAGTAAACTATGGTTTGTTATTACAGACATTAGATAGCTATAGTTACAATAAAATTCTGCGCTCTTGGAAAAGTTAAGCTAAGATATTTAAATAGTGATCCTAAAGCTGCTATGAAAATAGTGTATGTGATGTGTAAGTGCTAACACAGCGCTATAGGTTTAAATGAAATAAATGCTTCTATAAAGAAATATATGTGGTTTAAATAATAAAAATAACCTTATTACGAAAAAATAAGTGGGTTTCACCCCAGTAAAAGGTCTTCAAGGAGACCTATAAAATATCTAATGTTTTAAGTGATCCAATGTGACACAAAGTGTCTGAAAAAAACGTGTTTAGTGTTAATACATAACAATCAGAGCAAAAGGCTCCTAGATAGATACAATGTGACAGGATATCAGAAATAACAAAAATAACAAAAATAAATCGAAAATCTTCAAAACATTAATATATCTCGTTAATGAGTGAAAATGCAAATCATTAAATAAATGAAAAATGTTCCATTGAAAAGCAGTGGTGTTGCGATTTGATGCAAATATTTCCTCCAAAATCTCAGTCCGTGGTGTGAATAGCAAATAGATGCAAGATAGAAAATATACAGCAACTCTTCCTCGCCCGATCTGCGGCCCCCCCAAGTAATGGTTACTCACCAGATGGTGTGTGGAAATCAAGTCCCTCTCAGAGGTGTGGGTCTGGTCCCTCAGCTCTCCCACCGATACGTGCAGGACTCCCCCGGCAATGGAGCGGATACCGGCAGGTATCTTCACTAGCCGCGCTGCAGCGGATCCAGCTAATCTTCTACGGCAGGATCCCGGCTCCTTTTGCCCACAAGTTACTGATGTTTTTCTCCCGGTCCCGATGGTAAATCAAAAGGGATTTTTAGAAGAGAAAGACAGCCTTCATGGTGCAGTATGAAGCAGCGACGTTTTATTAAGATAAACAGTTCACATAAATTTTAAAATTGTTTTTCGGCCGGCCCGAATATCAGAGTAACAAACTAACAAACAACACGTGTTGGAAAGACCTTACGGGCAGATCTTAATAAAACTTCGCTGCTTCATACTGCACCATGAAGGCTGTCTTTCTCTTCTAAAAATCCCTTTTGATTTAATATCGGGACCGGGAGAAAAACATCAGTGACTTGTGGGCAAAAGGAGCCGGGATCCTGTCGTAGAAGATTAGCTGGATCCGCTGCAGCGCGGCTAGTGAAGATACCTGCCGGTATCCGCTCCATTGCCGGGGGAGTCCTGCACGTATCAGTGGGAGAGCTGAGGGACCAGACCCACACCTCTGAGAGGGACTTGATTTCCACACACCATCTGGTGAGTAACCATTACTTGGGGGGGCCGCAGATCGGGCGAGGAAGAGTTGCTGTATATTTTCTATCTTGCATCTATTTGCTATTCACACCACGGACTGAGATTTTGGAGGAAATATTTGCATCTAATCGCAACACCACTGCTTTTCAATGGAACATTTTTCATTTATTTAATGATTTGCATTTTCACTCATTAACGAGATATATTAATGTTTTGAAGATTTTCGATTTATTTTTGTTATTTTTGTTATTTCTGATATCCTGTCACATTGTATCTATCTAGGAGCCTTTTGCTCTGATTGTTATGTATTAACACTAAACACGTTTTTTTCAGACACTTTGTGTCACATTGGATCACTTAAAACATTAGATATTTTATAGGTCTCCTTGAAGACCTTTTACTGGGGTGAAACCCACTTATTTTTTCGTAATAAGGTTATTTTTATTATTTAAACCACATATATTTCTTTATAGAAGCATTTATTTCATTTAAACCTACAGCGCTGTGTTAGCACTTACACATTAGATAGCTATAAGCAGTAAATTCAGAATTGGGTATGCATGTAACATAACACATTTAAGCTTTCAGACTGCCCCTCTGCTGCAACGATCTAATCTCAACCATAGACAGCACTAAACTGATTAACAGTAACTCTGTCAAAAAATAGCTAACCATGAAGATGAAGTTTCAGTCTAACCTGGGTCCCTTACCTACTGGTCAGTGGTATTTTACATGGCTAGCTGGCGTTGGGACCCAAGCTTTTTCTTTGAAAAATAATTTGAATTCAGTAATAAAATGGCCAATGGCCTCTCACCACTACTGCAACAGACGAGCCTGGATGGTGATTCCCTCCCTGGCTGACAAAAGAGACATCCCCCTCTCCAGCCGGCTGTTCCCCAGACTTTGTGAAGAGGTATCAATGCAGAAGCAGCTGGTCTCTCTCCATATAACAGCAGCCAGCCACATGGTCCCGGCAGCATCTGATCATTTGGAGAGGCAGCGGTCTCTGTCTATGATACAGCAAGCAAACCCTCCACAGAGGTAGAAATGGTATTTGCTGTCCAGAAGATCATGCAGTCCCTTCAGCGGTGCTCACAGCTATCTCCCAGCAACTACAGCTGTGACAACTACCAGGTCTCTCTTTCCTTGGAGTGATAAATCAGATAGTTCTCCCCCATCCTCTCCCTGCACTCCCAAAGAGGGCTGAGTCCACACTTCCCCCACCCCAGGTTCTAAAAGCCTCCTGGAAGCTGTAGTTTGTTCTGTATAAGATAAACTGTCCCTTCCTCTTTCAACACTATAAGTCCCATTAGTCTCTCTGCCATACAAGTCCTGATGGTAATAATTAACTCTTTACAGAAAGAATGCTCTAGCAATGTAGCAACTATGCAGGGGCTACAGAGTACTTTATTTAAAAAAATGGTGAAAACAAAGGGATTAGATCTGTTTTCGTTTGGCCTCTTCGCTCAACGCATATAGCTGCACCAATGCATAACTTTCAGAAGTCTAAAATATTACCACTTATAATAACTGAGAACCAATTCCCCTCAGGTGCCTTCTTAATCCAGTGCTGGGCAAGATGTTCCTCATCTATGGATGATATCAATGATTTCACTTACAGAGTGGCCATGGATGGAGAAGACCTGGTGTCCTTAAATATCACCGAGGGTGTGTGGGTCGCTGGCAATGCCCCTCACTCTCAGGATGTACAGAGGGTCATGCAGAAGGATGAAGTCACAACCATGTCCCTTAAAAACATACTGATAAGAAACTGCTATTCAATGGCGCTCATATATTCAGTGGTGGGGAAGGAAGCTTATTCAAGAAAGAGTGAGTACTAACAGTGAATGCTTACAGTGTAAACGCAGAAACACAAACCTAATGTATTACAGCTTACCAGCCCTTAGAATTGGTGGCTGTATGATTTTCTTTTTTTCTGGCTTCTTTGCTCTATTTCAACTTGGTGATTCTGCCAGTAACACACTACTTGTCCTAGTCTCAAGTTTATTCACCCTACTGTATGAGGACAACATTCAGTCCAGTTCCAATGGTAATAAGGACATCTAAAGACAACAATACAATCTGACTGAAATAATGAACTGACCAGTTCTGCAGGACTATGGTCAATCTGTGTTTTCTTCCAATAGGCTCCAGTCAATGCCCCCTTCTGGTTGATTGACAGCTGCTCCACCCAGTTAGAAACGGAGCTAGGGACTTCCTGTAAATGTAACTGCCCTTTTTGCTGGACTTCAAGGCCCCTATGTGATAACATATTAGTGCCGTGACAGGTTCTCTTTAAGGTGACATTAGGTGACCCCCTAGTGTCACCTTTGCACTTCAAAAAAGCTATTCAAGTGCAGATCGTGCTTGAACAGCTTTGTCCCCACCTTCTCTACTTCTCTAGCCAGGGAATGACCGCTGAGCTGGAAGTGATGCAATAAGCTTCGCTTCTGGCTCCATTCAGCGGGGGGAACATTGAGGAATAGTTGTTGGCTGGTCTCTCTCCCCACTTCCTGCAAACACCCATGATACTGGTCCCGGGCATGCAGGAGGGGCACTGTTCAGCGGCCTGTGGAAGCAATTAGGAGGCAGCTCAGCTGCTAGAATCAATTTCAATGTAAAGCCAACAGTTGGCTTTAGACAGGTAAACCCACCAGGAGTCTATGTAAAGCAGTGGTAGCAAACCTCCGGCCCTCCAGCTGTGGTGAAACTACAAATCCCATGATGCATCTCTCTTCGGGAGTCATGTCTGTGGCTGTGAGAATCTTGCAAAGCCTCATGGGATTTGTAGTTCCACCACAGCTGGAGGGCCGAAGGTTTGCTACCCCTGATGGAAAGGGACCCTTAGCAAACGCCTAAGAGGTACGTCGCTGGCAGCGAACAGGTTAATGCAAGTCACAGACTTGGATCATATACGTTATTTTTTTTAACTAGTTACATTCTAATGATTTCCCTAAATTAGTCAAATTTACATATATGCTATAAACCAATCTTACATACCAATTACGTATGTCTCCATTACCTCAGTTTTACATTCCTTTCCTGCTTTTGTAACATGGAAACAGCTTTACCAGTGTTATTTTTTTCTATCAATGACTTTCCTCCATATATCTCAGTCCAGCCACAGGTCTACATTACCACAAAATCTAAATGCAGACCAATTATGTGTATTGATTATCTTAGCTGTACATTTCCTTCCTGCTTTATATAACATTGAAACAGCTTTACAAGTGTTATTTTTAAATGACTTTCCTCCATATATCTCAGTCCAGCCACAGGTCCAGATTACCAGCAGCTCTAAATCTGAAACAGAAGTCATCTGTGTGGTGACCGGCTTCTATCCAAAGCCAATCAACATAAGCTTGTGGAATGAGAACAAAATGGAGGATGTGATGTCCACTGGGACTCTACCTAATATGGATGGGACTTACCAGATAACAGTGTTGGCAAATATAAATTCTGCAGAACAGCAAGGTGTCTACTGCCGGGTGGAGCACAGCAGTTTGACAGACCCAATAATAGTACATCTGGGTGAGTAATCCATAAAGTTCTAGACTATGAAATTTTGCTAGAAGAAAGTTATAGAAAGTCAGAAAAAAACAACATTGTTATGAAAGAAATATGATGGTTTTCGTGAACTCCTTTTTGCCAACTCTCTAGCTTTAGCACATCTGAGTCAATGTCCTGGAACAAGCATCCAAGTCAGAAAGTCAACCAAAGTCAGAATTCCTGATGTGTCTACTTGTTGAGCAGTTACCGACTCTAGTGGAACCAAATCATAGACATGACAGTCAGGCAACTAACATTTTCAGAAAGAGAGGTCAGAATGAAAAACATACCTTACATATTCCTTTCATGACAAGTTCTCTTTAAAGTGCAACTGTGCTTTGCCTATACAAAGAAACAGGTTCATTGTAAATTAGCCCTCCCCAGCAGAATATATTTACTTTCCTTTTGCTCCTCTTCCACTCTGTTCCACCATTAAGATCCAAGGAATGACCTGTGTGAGCTACAAGTCAACAGAGCCACAGCTTACACAGGTCTTTGACTTTACATCTGCCAGTGCTGATCAGCCAAGTGTTGTCACTTTGAGTGATAGTCCGGATAAGAGTTGCACTCCTTACAGTGTTACAATTATTATGATGAGTGGGTGCTCATAGTGACCACAAAAGATGGTGCCATGCAATACCAAGATGAAGAGACCTGAAGTCACCAGCACCCAAAAATTTCCCTTTTTACTCTTTTTTTGTGTGAAAAAAGTGACACAAAGTCAAGATGAACTGAACGGTGGCTTCCTTCAACTCCTGGTGCTGAAAGGAGTAGTGGAAACGTTTTGTGCAGCTGGGAAAGGAGATCTGGGAGCCTTTGGCCTGTAGGGTAAATACAACCAAGTGGTATCTTTATGGTAGGGACAGATATCTTTGAGCTGAAGAAAGTGTACCATGCAAAGTGTGCATGGTGCCTCAGTGATTGGTGGCCATGGTAAGAGTTAGATGTTCCTAAAGGATGTGGTTTAGCTTCCTGCAGAATAACCTGAGCACTCGCCCTGATATCCTGTTTTTGGGTGGCTCCTTTACCTTCCAGGGAAATATGGAGACACCCGTGTGTGTGCTAGTAAGCTGTGTGTGTCCTCACAAACATAAAAGCACAACAAGGCAAGTCACTCTCCAGCTCCCTGCTCCTTCTTCCTCCCTCCTGCTTCCTCCCTGCTGCACACTCTGCTATCCCTTTGGGATTGTGCATTAAACAGGAGGTTCATTGAAGCTGAGCTAAGAGAGTTGGAGCTGTATGGAAGCATGATGATTGTAAGTGCTTGGGCAAAAAAAAATGTAAGTAATACTTATATTTGTTTGATCTGGATTCATTATTGAAAAAAAGTTTGAGAGTTTAATATCACTTTAAGTGAACTTCATGTAATATACTTCCTTCTTAGCTGTAGCAGTATTTTCAATTTAGCCGAGAATTACATTTTAACACTGATCTCATTTCATCTCCTCTGCAGATAAGATACATCACTCCCTGATCGGACTGGTCATAGTAATAATAGTTGCTGCTGTGTGTGTGGTTGGACTGGCTTGCCTTGTGAAGTTGTATAAAAAGCGCAGGTAAGACATCGTCACCCAGAGATATCAATGTATTGTGGTGGAAGCTTACAGCAAAACATCCCGTGAAATCCATTCAACCATTACCATACAAACACGAGAAGCCTGAACTTCACAAGATCTTCCCTTTGATTTTAATTCACCACCCAAAATATATATTTTTTTAAAATATATTTGTAGGTGCAGATTGAATATATCAGTCTGGTACATTTCTGTAGTGCTATCTAAAGATTTTTGCTTATGTTTTAATAAGACGTTTTGTCTTTTGTCTAAGGCTGTTTTATTTCCTTCTTTATTTTCTAAATGGCTACTGAAGAAAATGCACACATGTTGAATTGCTTGTGAAAAACAGCTGGTAACATAATAGAAAATTTTGAAATCTTTGATAGATGCTAGGTAACTCAGTCCCTTTAATTCAACTACTATGATGCTATGAAATGTGTTAAAGTTATACTAAACTCAGGAGTTAAATCTCAAAAGTGGATTCAAGTACCCTTACTATTAACAAAAATGTATCTTATTTGTGTATCACTCGGCTGTAGATACTCTGAATTGGTGCTGACACTGTCCTTCCTTCTGGAGGGTGGCTACTTTTGTTCCCCATGGTCCCTGTGTGTGTTGTAAAGTAGCCACCGCTCTAAGCTCACTCCCGTGATGGACTACAATCTCACATTTATTTTACTAATTTGTATTGAGATTGTAGTCCATCATTGGAGTGAGCTTAGAGCGGTGGCTACTTTACAACACACACAGGGACCATGGGGAACAAAAGTAGCCCCCCTCCAGAAGGAAGGACATTTTTAGAGAGGATCTGAGGATCTACAGCCGAGTGATACATATATAAGATATATTTTTATTAATAGTTAAGATACCTGAATGTATTTTTAAGATTTAACTCCTGAGTTTAGTTTCACTTTAAGGCAGATGTTGCTTGTTCAAAAACATGACAGGAGGTGTGAAAGTTTGTTCTTTGGACAATCAGCATCTGCCTTGATCCATTACATGAAACCATGGTGATTGGACTAAGGTAACTGAGTTAGGCTATAAATGCTGGGTAAGTTTATGACAATAATTAGAACTAAAGAGACCACTTGGATGTGTGGTGAAACACTTTCAACATTACAGAACAAGTCCAGTTGAATATGACCAACTTCTACTAGCTATGCCATGACCTGGATAACCGAGAACCTTCACAAGCAACCCTTCCAGTTAACTAAGCAAACTAGATAGAGTGCAAGTAGATGAGCCCAGCTATTGTTCTTCAACAGTGAAAGCAGAGAAGATCCGAAGACATATACAGGTCTATCCACAGAAGGGTGAAGAGTTTGGAGAAGGGAGGAGAAGTGAACAATCTAGGACAACATAGCTGAACTGGAAAGTGAGCCGAATTGGAGAATTTTCCCAAATCAGCTATTTTAGCCTAGATTGTTCACTTCTCCAAACTCTTCACGCTTTTGTGAATAACCCTGTTAATCATTATTATTACACATACGCTTGTACAATCCCACCCTGTGGTATTACAGAGTAGAGAATACCAACATTTGCTTTATAGAGTTGCTTGAGTGTCACCATGATTGAGTTTGTTCTATAAAGATTATTGTAGCTGATCAATGACAGGTACTAACTCAAGTTGTTTGTTGCATTAAACAGAAGATACACATCTGTCAACAGTAGTCCTTTGTAATGACTCCCCTGAAGAACAGATGAGAAAAATGACTGACCGGTGCCAGGCAACAGACAAGAACCGTACACAATTTCACAGCCAATAAAATATACTGTAGAGGCAACCCATGAGTTGTGCTTGCCTCACATGCATTGATTGTGCACTTTGTTTTGTATTTAAAGGTATTTTGTTTGTATATGCTAATTATTTTTCCTCCTCTGCTAAAGTTATGTCCGTTCTCAAATACATTTTAATCATTTTTTTGGCATTCTGTAAAAGACTTGAATCAAAAATGTTTGATCATCCCAATTATTGCCCCCCACCATGAAATATCACAAATTTCCATCCAGTCCCCTCCCTTGTAAGTTAAAGAAAAGAGATTGAAAAACAACGAATGGCTTAGTTTTACTTTTACACCTTTTGGCCAATATCTGTCAGTAAGATTTGCTGTTTGTGTAAAATAGTCCATGTTATATATTTGTTGACCCTGATTGCTTATAAAGCCTAATTTCAGCTCAAAAAAAGAGTTCAGCATTTGGAAAATAAAGCCATTCCCACTGCACCTCTCATCCTAAGATCAGCACTGGATTGCAGAATGGTAAGTCAGCTGTGGACAGCTCCGGTCCTTGCAGATTCACTCCACCCACTTCTTGTGAGCCTATCCACCTGGAGATACGTTATTAGGCCCTCCTGAGATCATAGTAATAAGCTGCAGACAGCAACACCACACCACTATCTGGAGCTATTCTCTGGAGCATTGAAGATCCGCCTACTGCTTGGTAGTCATGTGGCACCACTGGTACAGTCATGTGGCACCACAGGAAAAGGGCCTACGGTGGCACATGACTGTACTAAGAACAGAGAGAAAAAAGGCATACATAACCTTTTTTTTCAAAAGGTGGTGACAGGAAATAGGGGGCTTTAAGCATATTTTATTTTCAAATAGCCAGTTAAAAGGTACCCTGCGACCCCTAACCAGTTACTGCTGTGTGTGGGTTTGAGATGTAAACAAACAAACACTACAGACAGTTAAAACATCTTTTTCTTCATTCTAAGAGCCTCTTCACACACCTGTTTACCCAATGAGAAGCGCTTCTGACGGTGCACACTGACCAATAAGAAGCCCTTCTCATTGGTCAGTGTGATCAGGTGACCATGCTGACCAATGAGTGCTCACAATTTGAAAAGCGAAATTAAAAATCTAGAGCGCCATAGTGTAGTTCTTAAATGATTGGTCGGACCGTCCACCACCCTGGTTCCTCCAGCTTTGGGAATGCAACCTAGCAGTTCGATTTACGCCATCTCAAAGACACAGGATTCTGCTCTTAGCCCCTAAATCATCGATTTCGAGCAAAATACAGGAATCAGGTTATAAACTGTTGAGCAGATGGTACAAAGTAGCGATTTACCCATCCACCTCTCTGCTTTGTTGGAGATGTCTACGAGCACCGGGTTTACTGTTCCACATATCATGGAATGTTCATTGTTGCAACCTTTCTGGCAGAGGGTTTGCGATATCATGATAAAAGTCACTGACTCTGTACTGAAACTGACCCACTCTCTTGCTCTTGCACCTATCTGACTCTTTCATTAGGTCTTATAAATCTTCCCTTTTCATACATTTGATCAACGCGGCCTGTGCTTGTATCCTTCTCAAATGGAAATCTAGAGATCCTCCCTCAGTGTCCATGTGGGTTAACAAAGTAAATGAAATTATGCTCATGGAGGAACTGACACCATTGCTTTATGATAGATTCCAAATATTCAGGATAACCCGGCTCCCATGGATAGATTTTACTGAATTTTCTTCTTTTTAGACTTTATTCGATTCTTGGCCTACTTACATCGCTGGCCCTGGGGTCTCATGCTTTCAGATGTGAGATTGTGTCGGTGGCCTCCTGCCCCGGATGGAACCCTTTTTATTTTCTCATTGCTTATTTTCTTTTCTTATTCCTCTCTCCTTCTCAAACATCCTTTGGCTCTATCTCCTTCTTCTTCCTCTTTTTCTTCTTCTTCTTCCTGTAGCTGCTCTACACCCTTCTTTTTTCATTCTCCTTTTTCTTTTTGTCTACCCTTACGACCTAATTATTCACACTTTCTATAGCTTGAGGTTCTTCGTTGATTTGGTTTTCACAACAGAGATGGTCTAGATATGTACATGGAAATTTGTTAAATATCTGTGCCACTACTCTTGCCTGTTAATTTTTCCATGTTCATTTGGACGTTGATTTACACCGCTTCTCTACATTAATGTACCACTGTGTGTTACTATTCTCCTGTCTTTTTATAAATAAAGAATGGGGGGAAAAATTCAGAGCGCAGGGCTGTGAAACACGGCAGTATGGGGTATGGATAGTACACTTGCGGAGGGGAAGGAGCGTGCGCTTAAAGGTAATTGGGCCAGATTGGATGGGGTAATTCCATTTTCCCAAATTCACCTGGGAAAGTGCATACCCTTCATGTCTTACTGCTACAAAGTCTTGAACCTGATCAAACACAATACAAACTACAGATGACTTGGCAGGGAATGTGCCTCATTCCCAAAGAGCCAATAACCACAAAAAAACAAAAACAAGTCTTCATAGGAGTTTTTTTTTTTTTAGGTACCAAGTATGTGTATTCCAGAATCCTGCTGCACTCCTTACCGGGTATCCCTGTCAGCGTGGGTGCTCAAAGTGACCGTGGATGGCGCCGCCAATACTGAAACTTGTTAAAGATGTCACCAGCACACCATATTGAAGTGAAGAACACGTCTGTTTATTGACGCTTCATGACAAAACAAATAACAACGTTTCAGGGCCCCCCGAAATGTTGTTATTTGTTTTGACATGAAGTGTCAATAAACAGACGTGTTCTTCACTTCAATATGGTGTGCTGGTGACATCTTTATTACATTTTTAGGTACCAAAACACACATCTAAAACCACCCAAGATTGGTTAAGACCAAAACATTGGACTATTCTGAAGTGACCTTCCATGAGCCTAAATCCTATGGAATAAGCTGAAACATGCAGTCTGAAGGAGGCAGCTGGAGGCGTTTCCCCAAGAAGAGTACAGTCAGTGAAACCAAAGCACTCAAAACCGCTTTCTCCAAGTAGTAGAATAGGGTGCTGCGGCTGTCGACGGCTGGCAACTGTCACGATCAAAGTAAGAATTGAGACACCGGCACTCCAATTGCAATTCATAAACCTCTGTTTATTGACGTAAATGCAGCATTAACACACTGCGTGCTACAAGAAGAGTGGGACAAGCTACGGGCTGGCAGGTGCAGAAGTCTCCTTGAGAGTTACAGAAACCACTTGTTTGCAGTGATTGGCTGTAATGGTTGCAGAAAAAAAAT